CCTGATGAACAGGGGCGTGGAGACCTTCGACCCGGGTAGGGAACTGCTGGGCAGGTCTCCCTGCAGGACCTGCTGGGGGCTGGAAGCCCAGCTCCCACCTCTGAGCTCCCAGGGGCTCTCCCATCACCTGGAGCTGCTGGTGGCTTCAAACCTCCATGGGTTCAGAAGCACAAGTGGCTCCTTCTGATGGCCCTGCTTTTCCACCCATCCCCAAGGGTAGGGGGAGGCCCTTTTGGGGGTCCCCTGAGCTCCACCAGTGGTCCCCACGGGTGGTGGACCCTCATCTCTCCTGTGCTAAAGGCAAGAGGAGGAGAGCTCAGCCCTTCCTCTGCTTTCCCTGCTGGGATTGCAGGAGAGGAGCTCATTCCAGGCTCTGGAGGGTGGAGGTGGGACCTCCCTGTTGCTCCAGGGCAGGATGGAAGGGGGGGAACCATGAGGTCTATGCCCCCCTCAATTGTTCATTCTGGGCTGTGTCCCCCCCCCAGGCTACCACACTTACTGCCACTACCTGAAAATCGAGGTCAGCCAGTCCCACCCAGTGATGAAAGCTTTTTGCCTGCTGCTCCTCCAGCCAGCCAGGCCAGAGGGGACACCAGGGCTCAGGGCCACCAACGTGGAAGAAGGTGAGACCTTCCCACCACCAGCTAAGGGGGGATGCACAACCCCTGCCCCGTGGGGTGGCTCTGGGGTTGCTTCTGTGGGGTTTGAAGGTTGTGGCTCTGCCACCTTGGGCAGGGTGCCACCTCCTCTTTGGTGTGTGTGACCAGCTCCATCCCAGGGGCTCCATCCCAAGGGCTCCATCCCAAGAGCTCCATCCCAGGAGCTCCATACCTGGAGCTCCTTCCCAAGGGCTCCATCCCAGGGGCTCCATCCCAAGAGCTCCATCCCAAGGGCTCCATCCCAAGAGCTCCAACCCAAGGGCTCCATCCCAAGGGCTCCCTCCCAGGAGCTCCATCCCAAGAGCTCCATCCCAGGAGCTCCATCCCAAGAGCTCCATCCCAGGAGCTCCATCCCAAGGGCTCCATCCCAAGAGCTCCATCCCAGCGCCAGGGGCAGCTGGGGTTGAGATGGTCCCTTTTCCCCCCTTCCTTGCAGGCCTCCAGCTGATGCAGCCCACGAAGGCAGGTGGCAGCAGGGGCAGCAGGCTCAGGCAGAGCCGTGCCCGGTGGGGCTTGGCCTACACCCTCCTCAACAACCCCCCCCCCCCTGCCGCAAGAATGTCCTCTCCAACCCCACGGCCAACGGTGCCCAGCTCAGCCCCCCCAAGCCCTGACCCCCAGAGAAACCCCCCCCAGCCCCTCTCTGCCTCCCCCTGTACATCCCATCCCTGCCTCCCCTTGACTCTCCTGCTCTGGCAGGAGGTTGGGGCACTTCTGGCCCCCTCTCCAGCCTCCAGTTCCCCCTCCAGTGGGTGACAGAGGTTGGGTGGGAGCTCGAGATCCATGCTGAGCCACCACCAAGGCCCAGAGGTTGAAGACACAGCCGTGGCAAAACTCCAAGCTGGACCTGGATGGAGAGAGGTTGCAGAGCCACCATCCTCTCCGGAGTCACTCCTGCAACGAGCCCACCCGTTCTCAGCAGTCACCTCTGCCACGCCAGGCAGGAGGTCCCAGCACCAGGGCAGGAAGGACAGATGTGGCTTTGGTGGGTGTGGAGGGAGGAGCTGCCTGCATCCCAGCCTGGTCTCCCTGTGGAGAAGGTCCCTGCTGCCAAGCTCAGCCCCAGCTTCTCCCTCCCAGGTCTGATCCTGCCTCTCCTCGGACACTCCACCCCATCCCAGGACTTTTGTGTCCCTCCCCCATGTTGTGTGAAGGCTGGAAAAGACCCAGCTGCTCTGCTCTGGGCCATTTGCCTTTCTGCCCCTCTCCACTCTTGTCCCTCTGGTCCCTGCCACCCCTTGGGTTGTTCTGAGCCAGGGGTTCCCCAGGGCTGGTGCCCCCCCCGGGGTGAGCTGAGCTTGGATCCCTGGAGAGCAGTTTTACACCTCACTTGGATGTGCCAAGCTGGGCAAGAACAATAAACCACATACCTCATTCCTACCCTCGGGCTCTGCTGGGTCTCTCACCCCTTCCTCAACACCCAGACCTGGCAGGAGGGACACGAGGAACCCTCAGAACCAGATCTCCTGCTGATGGTTCTTGCTCTGACCACGTGGAGAGGAGGTTTTGCAGAAGATCTGCTTGAGCTGGGTGGGATGGACCCAAAGCTGTGGTTTCCCAAGCCCAACCTAGGGATGTGTTAAAGCAAAGCTGACCAGTTTGGCCCCTAAACTGAAATGGGATGGGGGCTGAACTGGGACACTGGGTGGCTAAAGCACCAAAAGGAGGGGTCCAGGCTGGGTTACCCTTGGGGTGTCCCTTCAAACCAAAGGCTGCCCTTGGAGGCTGACAGGATGCCTGGCATCATCCCACCACTGCAGGCAGGACCCGGGGCAGGTCGGACTGGTGACTCCTTCTTCTTCTTGACCCCACCTCAAAGCTTTGGGGCTTCACAGCCCACCCTGCCTGGAGCAGGGCTTTGGTGCCACCTCCAGGGGGGCAGGGGGTTGAGCCCCTCACCCCAGGGATCTCCAGGGGGGACAGGGGGGTTGAGCCCCTCACCCCAGAGATCTCCAGGGGGTTGAGCCCCTCACCCCAGGGATCTCCAGGGGGGACAGGGGGGTTGAGCCCCTCACCCCAGAGATCTCCAGGGGGTTGAGCCCCTCACCCCAGGGATCTCCAGGGGGGTCAGTGGGGTTGAGCCCCTCACACCAGGGATCTCCAGGGGGGTTGAGCCCCTCACCCTAGGGATCTCCAGGGGGGTCAGGGGGATTGAGCCCCTCACCCCAGGGATCTCCAGGGATCTCCAGGGGGGTTGAGCCCCTCACCCCAGGGATCTCCAGGGGGGACAGGGGGGTTAAGCCCCTCACCCCAGGGCTCTCCTGGAAGGTGAGCAGACCTGCTTGCTTGCTGCAGGCTTCCAAGGACCCCTCCTGGCTGGGTTGCTGGTGGTGTGGGGGTGATGGCACCAGGAGGCAGCCCTGGATCCTTTTCTTTCTCAAGACAACAGGAGCCCAAGGTGCAATTCCTGTCATTTTCCCAGCTTGGGGCTTGGCTGGGAAAGCTTGGATGGCTGAGCTGTGCTGGGTGGCCTGTGTGTATGGGGTGAAGAGATGCACTAAAGCACAGGCTGGGCCCTTCCCTTCCAGCCCATCCCCACCCATCTCCAGGCTCCCAGGCTCTGGGGTTTTGAAGGCAGCTTTGGTGTCATCCCTGACATCTTTCCCAGCTCCGGGCCATGGGTGGAGCTGGATTTCAGCAGCTGTTTACACAGCTCTGCCCAAAGCTTCCAGGAGATGGCTGGGATGAGGTGGAGGGGGTTGCTGACAGCCCTGGGAGGAAGACAAGGAGGTGGCTTCATGGGTTTGCTTGTTTTCTTTCCCGCCTTTGACGTAAGCAGGGTGGCCTGGGGGTGAACTGAGCTCCTGTTCTTCATGGTGGCTTCTCATCTCCTCCCTTAAACCCCCCAGCATCAGTCTGGCCATGGGTTAGCTCTGCCCCTGAGCATCTGCAGCCCTCCCCACCCAGCCCTGAACTGCTGGGGAGGTGGGTCAGGGAGTCAGCCTGGCTGGGGACAGCTCTGAACAGCAAAGGTGCTCAGATGGGGAGAGCTTAGAGCACCTTCCAGTGCCTGAAGGGGCTCCAGGAAAGCTGGGGAGGGACTTGGGACAAGGGCAGGGAGGGAGAGGACAAGGGGGAAGGGATGAAAACTGGAAGAGGGAGATTGAGGTGAGACATGAGGAGGGAATTGTGGAGTGTGAGGGTGGTGAGAGCCTGGCCCAGGTTGCCCAGGGAAGCTGTGGCTGCCCCATCCCTGGCAGTGTTGAAGGGCAGGTTGGATGAGGCTTGGAGCAACCTGGGCTGGTGGGAGGTGTCCCTGCCCATGCAGGGGGGTGGGGCTGGATGATCTTGAAAGTCCTTTCCAACCCAAACCAGTCTGGGATTCAACGAAATCCAAGTCTGGGTCCTGCTGTGACCTTGCAAAGGTGAGGGACAGCCAGGAGCTGCTGGTGGTGGTGCTGAGTGTGGTGTCACCTGGCAGGGTGCCCTGTTTGTTCTGAAGAAGACAAACCTAATTAGCCCAAATCCCTTCCCATAACAGCTCTGAGTGAACTTGGCAAAGGTGGAGCAGTTCATCCCTCCGGTGCTGGAGCAGCCACACGTTGGGAGCAGCAGCTTTGTGGGGTGAGCAGAGACTTTCAGGCCTGGCTTTTAAGGGTAATGAGAGCTTAAATCTTCTTTTTTACCCTTCTCTGAAGCTCCAAACCCTGCT